CTGCGATATGTGCCCCATGCGAGCACACGCCCCAAGCTGCAATCCCGGTTTTCTTTCTTCCGGTAGTTCCAGGTCCAGCCCTTCAGTGCTGCCGTCCTGGTCTTCAGGCCTTTGGTCCTATTGCTTCAGCTCAAACCTCTGGCTTCCTTCGGTTGCTGATCTTCACTCGGCTTCCGAAGGTCTTCTTCTTCCACAACCAGCAGTCCACAGCTGGTTCCTTGATCCAGCTGGCGGGGTTCGGGTGGTCTTCAATCCGGCTCCGAAGGTCCAATTGAAAAGGACCAGGTTCGCGAGTCCTCTCAATCCGGCCGCGAAGGACCAATTGAAAAGGAACTCAGGTTGGACGTCCTTCTTGATCCTGAAAAGGACCAATTGAAAAGGACCTAGCGGATCGGGTACTAAGAAACAGGAATCGAGGCTTCTCTCGATCCGGCCTCCTATCACGCCTACGTTGGGTTCGGGAACAACGTATGTGATCTCCGCAACGGAGTAACACACTAGGGCGATAACCTCTTCCTTTTCAGCAAGTAGGTTCAGACGGGGATTACGGGTCTTCCGAAGTCGTCCCGGTCCCGACGCCTTAATTCTTCGATGTGGACTGTATAACTTAAAGGATCTTGGGAATGAAACAGCAATTATCTTCAAACCGTTCCGTGAGAGAGTAATCACTTTTCCCTATACTGCTGGTTTTTCACTTTTCTTGAACTTTTTCCCGGATTTTCTTATTTATTTCCGAACTATTTCCGAACTTCCCCGAACGATTCCCGAACTTCCTTGAATATTTCCCGAACCATTCCCGAACGATTTCCGAACTTCCCCGAACTTCCCGAATATTTCCGAACGAATTGCAATAAAACCCGTTCACTAAGCTACCCCAGAGCTATACGCGAAAGTGAGCCGCGCCATCTGCGCGCTTGCGCAACTTAATTACATGAATTTGTACTATTACTCTCTCACGTTTCACTCAATATCTTTATTTATTCAAATCATATACAAATACAATTTATCAATATAGGTAGTACAAAACAATATCTACACCATGATATATATCATATCTTCATATCATAAAAAACCTTTTATTTATTAAATGAAAACTGCCTATTTTACTCACAAGTTCGAAATCGAAATTTCTTAAATATTTAACACAGAAAGTTAAAACAATGTTTCTCAATTGAATTTATACATAAGCTAACCAATACAATAGTTTAATTTACATTTTTTCTATTTATTTCACTATTTAAAACACTTTTAAATTTCTTATACAAAACTATCATTATTTCACTTATACACAGGAATTTTCACATGAAAATAACACAGAATTTACCTTTTTAGCACGTACAATTAACCTGAAATATTTTACAAGTAATTTTTACATAAATCACTGAATTACAAACATTTTAAATTTTTACATATTCGGCCTCCTAAGGGCGTGGCCAGCGTGCTTCCGTGTACTCGCGCTAGGTGAACAACTAACTTTGCACGGCTCTCGGCTATCAGAAAAAATTAAATTATGAAATACACCAATTTTGACCATATTAGGCAAATTAAATGCTTTTATACAATTTTCGAACTGTATGAAACTATCTTTAATCAGATAACAATATAAATGAATGTTCTCATTAATCAATCATAACAAATAGGCATTTGTTTTCGTACAAAACGTATCAAACTTATACAAAACAACATTTATGCAATTAATATCCATTAATTCTGCCTATGCACAGAGTGATTATCTCGACCGGGGAACAAATCCGATCTTTAACTTCACTTTAATATTCTTATGAATTTACATCATTTGAAAGATGATTTCAACCGGGGAACAAATCCGGTAACATAATTTATATCTTAAATTCCTTACGAATTTATTAAGCGATATTACTTAGGAAAACAAACAAACTAGTCCGGCCTGGGAGTCGAACCCAAGACCTTCATATCATTAATTCGACATTTCTTAAAGATTTAACTAAGCATTCTCTTATCAGAGCGTCGTTGCTCGTGACTACCCCTTTTTTCATAGCAACGTCATCGGTTGATTTAATAAACTGAAACATTTTTATAGGCGCGTCGCCAACAGTCTTGTACTAATGGTAATGGTACAACTATTCATAGTAGTGTATGCAGTAACATTTAGTTTTATTTAAAACTAGTGGCTCGCCCTGGCTTCGTCGGTGTAGTGTCTAATAACGTGACGTTATTTAGATTTAACATAATCAAAGACCGTTCATTTTATTAAGTTTTTTGGATAAAATATAGAATAGTCAAGTAGAAAATATAACTCCTGGCACTGCTTTCTATCTGTTTTTGAAGTTTCATTACCATCGGTTCAGCCATTTCGAAGAATAACCCAGACATATGAGATAATTTTCGTTTATTTTACATATGTGCTAATTTAACATAAAATTATTATTAGCGCCGCTCCGCACTGCATGAATATCGAAACCACAATAAAACAGGTGTACAGATTGCAGTACAGTTCAGTTGAACATAGTGAGTGTTCGGACCCTATCGAATATCGATGAATTTAAATGAGAACTACAGTCTAGTGAATACGCATTATTAAAAATAACTCAAAAGCTACTAGTCAGATCTTGATCAAATTTATATGGCCACACCACCACCACACGAGAAGTACCAGCTTCAGATATTAAAAAGAATCATCAAAATTGGTTCACCCAGAAAAAAGTTCTGAGGTAATACACATTAAAAAAACGTACAGTCGACTTGAATACCTGCTTCTTCTTGAAGTCTGTAAAAATGGTTATTCATGTTATAATGGCATGCAAATAACCCCTAAGCTAAGCTAAGCTATGTTATAAGACATTTATTTCAATAATACACAGATCTTTATCCATAAACACTCACGCCTGTCACCCAGAGGGGTAGGCAGAAACTACAGACTTCCATTTGGCACTATCGTGACACACCTCTCTCGCCTCCTCTCACACGCTCGTCGGTTAAGGGTACTTTTCATTTGGCCCACTTTCAATATATCGCCAACTTGGTCAATAATCTTTCGCCAAGGACGTCCCTTTCCGACTCTACCATTCACTTCTGCAGCATAAATTTGCTTTGTCACTCTTTCCTCATTCATTCTTTCTACATGACCAAACTACCGAAGCATTCCTTTCTAAATCCTGGTCACAACATCATCTTGCAAACCTAAGTCTTCTCTTATTACACAATTTCTTACCCTGTCACTCAGATTCAGCCCTAACAAACTCCCTAACGACCGTATTTCTACTGCGTTTATTCTACTCTCGTGCTTTTTCTGCCACATCCAACTTTCATTACCATACGTTAAAGTAGGGACCAACACAGCATTATGAATTGCCATACGTGCCTTTTTCGACACATTCTGACTTTCCACAATAGAGTGTAGGGCCCCATTTACTTTATTTCCTGCGTTCACTCGTCGTTCAATATCGCTATCATATCTCCCATCCCTGCTGAATACACATCACAATTATACAAACTCATCTACTTGCTCGACCAAATTTATATGCATGTATAAAGAAATATCTTTACATGTACTATGTATAGATAATGTCGAGGAATTGTTTGGGGTTAAGCGCACGTCGTAGGTTTCACAACACGCGAGCAACCCGGGTTCAAATTCAGCTTGAACCAATGCAATTGATAATTGAAAATTTGAGTACTGATTTACCAAGTGCTCGGCGGCGAAGGATAAAACCGTAAAGAAATCTCCATGTTTAAGGATTAAAAAGATTTCAAAGACAAAGAAAGAAATGGCGGGATGTCTATATTTAGCCCTGGGACGAGTATATAAGAGCATAGTTTCAAATAACCGTACGTGGTAAAGCCATGCTGCACCTGCATTATGGGTACAGCGTGAACAGTTCGATGCGAAAACAACGCCTAGTATTTACGGAGTTAACCCATGGTGACGGGATTCCCCGTGTGTGTATGTACACTTTTCCCTCTTTTTCTCACTTTAACACCTGCCTTAATTTCCGAATTCTGAGTTCTCGAGGGTGACAGCGCATCTGCATTTTGATTCATATTCAAGGATACAGGCAGTCTATGGACTACGGCAACTATTTACCATCAGGTAGGCTGTGTGACCGTTTGTCAATGTTATTCTATTAAAAAAAAAGATTTTCTTTTTTGGCAATATCAGTATCACTTTTCGAATAATGTAAGTCATTACTATTTTTTTTACGTAAATACAAAAAGGTACCTAATTTTTCGATGTTCACGTATTATTATAAAAAATAATTTTAATTTATTTCATTTAACCTAGTTATTTAGGCATATTGTACCTTTGATTTATGGTTTTTGTTAGTTATTATACATTTATGTTGGCAGCTGTGATTACAGAATCTAAGGTTTGAGTGTCTTTGGCGGATGTTAATAAGTAGCAAGATATAACAATTAAGGAAGTTTCTCAATTACATTAACAGTTTTATTCCTTATTACGGTGTCGATGTTATCTTTGATATTTATCGTTTTAAGCTATTGCATAGCTTCTATCGCGGGCCTTGAGCGCGGGGACCGAATCCAGAAATTCCGTAACGAAAAAAAAGCTCATGCTCCCCACTCCGACGGGCACGGAGGTGTGGCGTTGAAAGCCGTGCATCGTCTAACGTCGTTTCAGTCCGGCAGACTTCGGCACTCGGCAGAGTTCGGCACAGTGTTTGTGTGCGTGCGACTAGACGTATGCGTGTACACTGTACACTAGCTGCTAACTCAATGATAAAAATTCCTGAATAACCTACATGTATTGTAAGATATTAAAATATTTTAAACAATATTAACTTCTCATTTATTCAATAAGAGAAAAAAAATTGTTTTCTTATCGGTCACCACGCTCAAAAAGTGTAACTTGATTTAATATCAAAGACTTAACTGCATAAATAAAATAAATAAATAATTATAATTGCATAAGTTGATAAAAAATGCTATGCAATAGCTTTACCGCGGCAGTCACCGAGTGCCACACGTATTTTCTTATATTAAATAATATTTAACTCATAAAATACCTTGAATTAATGTGTTCGTAGAATTTGCATATCCAATCGTCAAAGTCTGTGTACATCATCTGTAAGCCGCTAAGGTTCTTTGTAACGTGTCTGTTTTGTTCTGAAAGAAGAATCAATAAAGAAAAAAAGAAAAGTCAATTAATCATAAAAATCAAAAAGTATAGTTTTTTACGTGGTAGAGCCATGCTGCAGTTATATTAGTGGTATAGTTGTAGCACGAATGGGTCGGCTCGACCGGGGAAGGACCACGCTCTCACAGAATACCACCAGGTATAGTAGCAATAGTATCAAATAGTAGCTTAATGCTGCTGTGTTTCGTATGGTGAGTGTAGAGAACCGGCGACCCTTTTTACTGGAAACGAGGCATTCCATCTTAGTCCCTACGGGTGACAATGCATCTGTGTTTTGATTCAGTTTTGAGTCAGGTTACTGTCCTCCGCAATTCTGCGGGGGAGATGAACCAATCTCCTGCAAGAGGCGGCGCGGGCGACGACAGGAACTCCTGTACGCGACTTTCCTTCCGGGCGTGAAGCTCCATAAACTCCGCACTTGCTGTGTTCGGCATAAATTGCTCCTCGAAGTGCTCGACTAGGATATCCGCTCTGCCCTTGGCATCGTAGCATCGTTTGCCCGTATTGTCAGTCAGCGGGCAAACGGGAGGTTTGGATTTGGTCAACTGCCGGTTCAGTTTATAGAGCGACGCATCATGCTCTTCCGCCTTCTGGATGCGCCGATCCCAGGCCTCTCCTCTGAAGGCCTGGACTGCAACCGACAGTTCCTCCGATAAGGTGTTCAGCTGTGTCTTAATTCTGGGACAGCGAGTACGCGTCCAGAGCTTTCTCAGCGCTCTTTTGCGCTTGATCTGCACGCATATCTCACGCGGCAGATCGTCTCGCCTTGCTGTAATCGGGACGACCGTAGAAGCCGCGTGGAGGGCTTCCTTGATGTTGTTGGTAATTCTAGTGGCAGCGGCCTCTACGTCGTCCGCTGTGCTTATAGGTTGGTGTGCTGGAGGTCTCTGCTGAAGGTGTTGACAGTAGAGCCTCCAGTCGACACGGGTTTTAAAAGCTCTAGGCGGCGTAGTCACTGCCTTTAGGCCAAGGGTTACCAGTAACGGGAGGTGCTGTGAAGGAAGGTCATACAGCACTTCTACCACTATCGGATAGTTGACGTTCCTAGTGAGCACGATGTCTAATACATCCGGATGCCTCCGCGGGTCAGTAGGAACGTGTGTTGGTTCCTCGGGACCTAGAACGTCGTACTGGTTCTTTTCTGCGTCTTCGTATAGCTCAAGACCCGGCGGGGTGATCACTCTGGACCCCCACGCCGGGTGTTTGGCGTTCAGGTCCCCGGCGATGATTATAGGTGTATCGCCTTCCATCACCGTCCGGATGTCTGAGGAGCAGAATGGAGTCCCTGGCGGGCGGTATGCTGCATATATCCTTAATTCCTCGCCCGCCGCCTCCATTCTTATGCCGATTGCGTGCATTGTCTGGTAGGATGGTAGTTCCAGCTCTTGATGGACGATGTCCCTCCTCACTAGAACCGCCGTCCCTCTGTAGGCGGCTCCTTGAGAAGTGACCTCGTCCCTTCTGTAAATATGGAAGTTTGGCAGCTTTATGCGCGTCTTTGGATTCAATTTTGTTTCGCCCAGCAGTATGATATGTATATCCTGTTGCTGGGCGACAGTGCGGAGTTCATGCAGCTTCTGCTGTATTCCGTCCGGGTTCCAGTACATTAGGCGCAGGTTATTCTCCTCCATAGTGTCTGGCCAGGAGGTTTGCCAGCGCCTTCATAATTGCTGTTACTGGATCAGTCCCGGCTCTGATGTCGGCCAGGACTTGTGTGCCGACCTCGATGGCAATACCAACTAGGCGCTGGATTGCACCGGCTGTTTCGAGGCCGGCCGTCGGTGGTCTCCTATATGAAGGCGTTGGTGCTGGTCTCGGGCGTTGGTCTTCTTACTTTTGGGTACTAGCTACGCCCAGATGGTAGCTGCGCCAGCAGTACCGCGACCCAAACCGGCGGCAGCGACTTCTGATAAGCCTGCCGACCAGGAGGAGAAAACTAGATACCCGCCCATAGTGGTTGAATGCCTCCCGGATTGGACGAGGCATTTCAAGGAGCTCAACAGAATGTTGGGCCACCCATTGAATGCCCGTCCTTTCGGGAAGGGAGTTCGCTTTACACCACAGAGTGCCACTGAATTCAGGACTGTTCAACGTTATATGGTTGAACTTTCCAAGGAAACACCAAACATGTCGTGGTACTGCTACACCCCGGATGAAGACAAGCCCACCAAAGTGGGCATCCGGGGCCTACCAATGGGTACAGATACCAATACCATAGAGGAGGCCATAAAGGCAAAGGGCTTCCCGGTTAAATACGTAAAAGCGATCCCACCACGAAGGGGCAGACCAGGATGCGTCTACTTTGCCCAGTTTGACCACCTGAGCCTGGAGCAGCTCAAAAGATTATACGAAGTTGACGAACTGCTCTTCATGAGAGGAGTAGTTATTGAGGCCTGGCAAAGGAAAGCAGGACCGGCTCAATGCCACCGCTGCCAGGCCTATGGACACGCCTCAGCTAACTGCTTCAGGCCAGTGAAGTGCGTACGCTGCGCCGGGGAGCATATAGCGAACCTTTGCCCTCGGGGTAGGGAAGGGAACCCACATGTGCCAATTGTGGCAAGAACCATACAGCCAATGACCGTCGCTGTCCAGTCCTGAGGAGGACTGCACGGAGGCAGGGGATTACCTTACCGGGGCTACTCCCGGAGGACCCGAAAAGGATCCCCCCAGAGTCGCCCTAAAGCCATCACCATCCAGAAAGACGGGTGGGCTACCATCACGGGGAAGGGCAGACAACCAGCCCCCCCCCCACCCGTACCACACAAGGAAACGGTGGAACCCGTAGAGGAAAGGGCAACCACTGGGGCGACTCTGCAACCTCCCGCCAACCCTGCCACAGAACGGCAACCCTCAAAAAAGAGGAGGCGGGAGAGAAGCAGGAAGAAGTCGCAGCCTCCTCGGGCTGTTACCTCTACCCCGACACCAGGACCAACAGCCTCTCAGACGCAGGTTACACAGGAGACCACCAAAAATTCATGTAATTGAGTTGCGCAAGCGCGCGAATGGCGCGGCTCACTTTCGCGTATAGCTCTGGGGTAGCTCAGTAAATGAGCTTTTTTGCAATTCGTTCGGGAATCCTTCGAGATAGTTCGGGAAAAAAGTTCGGGAATCCTTCGGGAAGTTTCGGGAAAGTTCGGAGAAACTTCGGGATAAGTGCAAGACCAGCAGTCAATAAGAAGAAGAAAGAAAAAGTGTAGGGAAGTGATAGGGAAAAGTAATTACTCTCTCACGGAACGGTTTGAAGATAATTGCTGTTTTATTCCCAAGAAATTCATCCCTCAAAATTATACAGTCCACATCGAAGAATTAAGGCGTTGGGACCGGGACGACTTCGGAAGACCCGTAATCCCCGCCTGAATCTATTTGCTGAAAAGGAAGAGGTTATCGCCCTTGTGTGTTACTCCGTTGCGGAGATCACATACGTTGTTCCCGAACCCAACGTAGGCGTTATAGGAGGCCGGATCGAGAGAAGCCTCGATTCCTTCCTTCTGTTTCTTAGTTGAACCTTTACACACCATTTGGTTCCTTTTCATTATGGTTCTTGGGTTACTAAGGTTTTATAAGTGCCATTTTAATCATTATGTTGTTTATAAACTTGAAAATTGGCTTATTAAATAAAGCAAAAAAAAAAATTAAAAACTGCTAATTACATTAAACAGATGACAGTGAAGCGTAAACGCAAGGAAAACGTTGAAGATCATGTATTTTAAATATTATGAGAATTAATTTTTTTTTTCGCAATTAATGATATCCGAGGCGTATTGGCGAGACCAAACTAACTTGCATATGTATACTCTAAGATGATATCCCGCCAAAATATAAATGTCAAAAGAGGGCGAAGCACGGCATAAACGAAGTTCTAGGTCGTAGACAGAGAATTCTGGGTTGTTGGCTAGTCTCTGGTAGATATTGCTACGGAACTTGGCTTTGGTCCACCACACCGATAGCCCGTGTTGCTCTATGTGCTACGCGCGAGGCAGACAACCCCGAACGTTGTTTGTAATAAAATTAGCTCTCTTTTCATATTTATGTGTTTGGTGGGGTTTAATATCCTCAAAGTAATTATGAAAATTTTAAATTATGATTCATAGTAAAGTAATGTTGAGTTTTAAGACAAAGAAAAGGGGCGATAAACTTAAAAATCGGTTGAATAAAAATAAATTCGAATTTAGTTCTATAATTCAATCATTCATTACAGGTTTACTCCATCAAAGTTCCACTGCTAAACACAAACTCCTCCTATAGGTTGCATCGTAGAGAGGATATTTGCCATAGTTGTCAAGCTTGGCAAGGTGGTTGGCATCAAAGTTCCACTGCTAAACACAAATTCCTCTTATAGGTTGCATCATAAATAGGATAATTGCCAAAGTGCCAAGCTTGGCAGGCAGATTTGCAACCGGATTTTTTATTATTCTGATCTGCTATCAGGAAGTTATTGCAAATTACCTGTATCGTCTATTACGACACCCACTACACTGATATTTTTTTCCGCTTTCGTTTGAAATTACATTTTAAACGTAAAAAAAGTCTTCATAAAAACAATTAAGAAAAAATGAAAAAAAAAGAGATACGAGACATCAGCCGGAGAAGACACCTGCGTCTCGGTCAGAAAGAGCAGAGCTGGCCTCGCCGTCTCTAGATAATAGTGGACGGGGTTTAGGTTAGAGTGAAGTCCCCTGATATTGCAGAAATTCACGGATAGCGTGGCAGGGGTTGCCGTGGTCTTGTTTCTCCGTTTGCCCCAGGCAGTTGTAGTCTTGAGCGGAATTTTGCCCCCCCCCCTCCCCCAGAATACGCGGGGCAACCTGAGCACCCACGCTCAGGAGTGGAGAAACATGGTAACGTAGATGCTCAGCGAGGGATTCTCCAGGGGTGCTGGTACCTTCCTGGGGTAGTCTATCATTTAATACGCTCACGCTACCATGTTGATGGGGGGGGGGGGGTATTTGGGCCTCCGGCCACCTGCACT